CTCCTCTCTTCTCTTCTCTTCTCTTCTCTTCTCTTCTCTTCTCTTCTCTTCTCTTCTCTTCTCTTCTCTTCTCTTCTCTTCTCTTCTCTCTCTCTCCTTCTTTCTTTCTCTGTCTCTTTCTCATCTTCTCTTCTCTCTCTCATCCATCTTTTTCAGGAGAAATACCCACATTGCCTGGCGGTAAAGATATGCATAATATCCAGAGCAAATATTTGAGGTGAGTTGTTGCTTGAGGCCTGTGCAGAAAAAGCCCTATAAACCTAAAGTCAGGAGATGACAACCTTTCTCTCTAGATCTGTGTACTGAAGAGCCATATTTTTTTTTCTTTCTGTATGGTTCCAAAATTGCAGAAGAAGGGAGGTATCCATGTCACATAAAAACATCATCTATTGAGTGCCCTATTTTAACTCACTGGTTAACACCAGTCAGGAGACTCAGAAAAGCAGTCATCTGTTTCCAGATCAAGGAGAAGAGGTCACACCCACATCTTCTGTGTGTTTGGTTCAGAAAGTATCTGACAATAATTTAGACCCCTTCCAGAATCAGAAAGTTTTCAGGACATTGTATAAGTTGTCATCAGTTGTCCTGGAAATTGTGCAACCATTTTGATACAATGCAAAGCTTTGTTTTAAATGAATATAGACTCCTGTATGCATGTCTTTATATATTTACAAACTTGGTTGCACTGTACATTTATATACTTATTATTGTTGTGGATGGGTACAATTGAGCTGATACTCAGCTGACCGTCCAGCGGGTTTTCACAGAGAAGGACATAGTCCATCTTTCTTATGCATTTATCAATTATTCCAAGCATGTTTTTCGAAATCAACGTCGTGTTTGAAATCTGCTGAAGCTCAGTTATATTTGCCTCTGTGCATGGTGGTCTCGTGGTAAGAAGCTCTGTCGCAATCCCAAAGGCACGTGGTTTGAGGCCACCGGATACTCTCTGCGGGAGAAGGTTGGGGCCGTCTCTTACCATGTCATTAACGGCCTCTGAAAACCCAGCCGGAGGGTCAGCTGTGGGTCAGTACAGGCTCCATGGTCCACAGTATCACGCCATAGATTTCAAATAAGAAGCGTGCATAAGGTTTTGACAGAATGATGCTGAACTTGGCTAATTCCTAAAGCAACCCCCAACTGAGAATAACCATACTCCCCACCAGATGATGGTAGATGGAGAAGGTCAGTCCACATCGGGCAGACACGAGGCCTCTGTGACCCATTTAAAATGAGACAGAATCATTTTTTAAAAGCAAACATTCTTGGGCACGTTCGCACGAGTTCTTGTTAACTCCATAATAACTTGGGAAAACGTCTTTGACTTGCCTCATTTGCAAAAGGAATGTGGATGAGAAATTCCTGTCTAGAAGTCTCATAAGCATTCAGTACCTTACTGCATGAAAACATAAAAGGAAAAACAAAACCCCAGACACTCTGCCTGTGGTTTTTAGTGGAGAGAGTGAATTCATTTCTCATTGTAAATTTCCCTCTTCCCCCTTCTTGCCCCCAGACACCATTTCATAGAGAAAATCTTTGAAGACACCGATGACTCTGGTCACTGTGGTGTGACCTTCAAGTGGACGCCCAGGCTTGCTATGCTGCTGCAAGATTTTCCTGAATTCATTCCTTTTGGGAGCTGTGAGTGCAAAAAAAACCCCAAAACACCTTTCGTGGATTTCTTCTGACATCCCTGTGATCCCCAACCTAGCATCACCTGGATCACACGTCTGTGTGTAAGCAACGTGTAGAATTCTACCCTTAGACTCTCATACAGACACCCTTCCAACCACCACCCTTGAGGAAAACATACCCCAGAAAGCTCAGGCATGTGGGGACCCAGCCTTTGAGATTTCACAGGCCAAGGGCATTACTGATTGGGGCTCTGAAAAGGTTTTCTGTAAACTCCCACCTTTTGGAGCCCATGAGAGGGGCCAGAGGTATAAATCTGGGCAAAGTTCTGAACTATATTGTCATTCCTGCTTCTCCAGGTTCCTCTGAAACTTTCAGAAACGGATGTAAAAATACATATGCAGACGTGGACAGTGTGTCCTTATCACGTCCTCCACAGGAACAGACTCATAGTCAAGGCCCAGCTGAGGAGGAGAAGGCAGGTGGGAAATTCACTTCTCATCGCTCTGTGCTATGTCCTCAGGGGCCAATTCCGGAGGGTGGGGAGCCTCACGGATGTGGGAAAACCTTCATGTTTTCAGGCCATGTGCGCCCTGACCCTGGAGACGGTGCTTCCAAAGGCAGACAGTGTAGGGAGAGCTTTTGTCACCGGTGGCAGATTGAGGAGGGCAGGGAGCCTCATGGATGTGGGAAAACCTTCATGTTTTCAGGCCATGTGTGTCCTGACCCTGAGGACGGACCTTCCAAAGGCGGACAGTGTGGGGAAAGCTTTTGTCCCCAGAGGCCGATTCTGGAGGGAAGTGAGTCTCACAGATGTGGGAAAACCTTCCTGTTTTCAGGCCAAATGTGCTCAGATCGGGGAGACGGAGTTTCCAGAGGTGGACAGTGTGGGAAGAGCTTTTGTCCTCAGGTGCAGATTCTGGAGGACGGGGAGCCTCACGGATGTGGAAAAACCTCCATGTTTTCAGAACACATGTGCCTGCCCTCTGGAAACGTAGCTTCCAAAGGTGGACAGTGTGGGAAAAGCTTTCGTCCTCAGGGGCAGATTAAGGAGGACGGGGAGCTTCACGGATGTGGGAAAACCTTCATGATTTTAGACCGCACAATCCCTGACCCTAGAGATGGAGTTTCAAAAGGTGGACAGTGTGGGAGAAGCTCTCCTTCCTGCCCGGCCCTCATGGATCACACATGCTCACTCGCAGGACAGAGGCCCCGTGTCCATTGGGAAGGCATGGACTCCCTGCCTGGCATCCACATGCAGGAGAGGCCTCACACGTGTGTGGAGTGCGGGAAGGCGTTCGGGGGGCCCTCGCACCTCCGTGTGCACGAGCGCACGCACACGGGCGAGCGGCCGTTCCCCTGCCCGCAGTGCGGCCGGGCTTTCTCCAGCCACTCCTCACTTGTCCGGCACGCGAGAATCCACACTGGAGAGAGGCCTTACTTGTGCACACTGTGCGGGAAGGGGTTTGCCTACCGCTCGGCGCTCAACAAACACACCAGGGTTCACGCCAGGCAGAAGCCATCCGGGCATCGTGGGGGACCCTCGGGTCAGGGGGGACCCTCGGGTCTGGCACAGCCAGTGGGGAGGCCGTATACCTGCCCAGAGTGTGGCAAGGCCTTTGGCGTGCCCTCACACCTGAGCGTTCACCTGCGTACACACACCGGTGAGCGTCCGTACGCATGCCAGGAGTGTGGGAAAACCTTCAGCGTGGCCTCCAACCTCACGGTGCACATGCGCACGCACACGGGTGAGCGGCCGCACGCGTGTCCCGAGTGTGGCAAGACCTTCAGTGTGGCCTCCAAGCTCCACGTGCACCGGCGCTCGCACACGGGCGAGAGGCCCTACCTCTGTCCACCCTGCGGGAAGACGTTCACCAACTGCTCAGCCTTCACGGCCCACATGCGCACTCATGCGCCGGACAGGCCGCACGCATGTCCCGAGTGTGGGAAAGCCTTCCTGCTGCCCTCAAGGCTGGCCTCTCACCTCCGTACGCACGCGGGAGGACAGAGACCGGACACGGGGGGACAGAGGCCTCACATGGGGTCACAGAGGCCGCAGACGGGGGGACAGAGGCCGGACACAGGAGGACAGAGGCCGTACGGGTGCGAGGCCTGTGGACAGGCATTCACGCAGGCCTCTGACCTCCACACACACGCGTGCACACATTCCACACCCAGGCCTTATCGGTGCACAGAATGTGGGAAAGCCTTCAACGAGCCCTCCAACCTCACTGTGCACCTGCGCACACACACCGGAGAGACCCCTTTCACATGTCCCCACTGCCAAAAAGGGTTTTTCTTCCGCGCGGCCCTGGCCAGGCACATGAGGACTCATGCCGGAGAAAACCCTCTAGAATGCAAGGTTTGTGGCAAAGCCTTTAGCAAGTTATCAGGTCTCAAGCGACATGTCACGATTCATCAGAAGCACAGGCTACAGCCCTGAATGGCGGGCACGGATGGGCCAGCGTGACATGTCGATGGGAGTGGAAGATGGGAAGCAGAGTGGAATCATTCTGTCCAAGAAAAGAACATTCATTCCTTCCCAGGCAGAAAAAGAAACCAGGATGTCTCGGGGCAAAGCAGGAATGGATTCGTAATCCCAGCCTTGGAACAGGTGAATGCAAAATTAGGGTAAATTGAGTGGAGAATTAAAAAAAAAGGATCCCTCTGCTACAACCATGAATGAATATATTTTTTTTTTAAAAAAAAGTGAATCAAAGGAGAGGGTAAAATATGCAGCAATGAATGAATGAAAATCTTTTTTTCTGTAAACTTTCATTAAAATGAAAATGAAAAAATTTATGAAAGAAGAAAAATAATACTAGAGAGAAAAAAGGATCCTTCTGGAATTGGACACACACTAAAGATTGACAGGAGGTGGGAGAGGAGGGGACTGTATGGGAATGAGTGATCAAAATGAATTTCATTGTAAACTACTGAATTCAAATAAAAAGTGTGATGAAAAACAGTGAACAGACATCCTGATCTTTCTGCTTTCAGTGCAGAATTGTAAAATCTCATTGGAGACAGGACTTAAAATTTCATGGCACGTGTGGAGTGTCATGGTGTGAGTTTTCCGAGGGATTTAATCGTACAAGAGGAGATTGCCCATCCTACTTCCACAGAGCAGCTGGTGGCCTCGAACGACATGCCTTCAGGACTGTAGCAACATGTCACTTGTCCCCCAGAGCTCCTTCCGAGCATGGGGAGAACCCTTTATTTGCACCTATTTTCCGTACACAACCTCATCCACAAGAGAGGAATTTTAAATGTCAGCATTGTGTGAAAGCTTTTTTTGTTGTTGTTTTTATGTGCCATGGAGTCCCCTGTGGTGCATAGTGACCCTAAACACAACATCCCTGAACCCTGCCCTGTCCTGAGCCAGTCTCACTGTTTCCAAACACACCAACCCCCATGTCACTGAATCAATCCACCTCATTCGGAGTCTTCCTCTCCTGTGCTATCCCTCCACCCTTCCAAGCATGATGTCCTTCTTCAAAGACCAGTCCCTCCTGGCCTCGACGTGCCCAAATCTCAAAGCTCCTACTACGCAGATAGGCAATCCCACCAAAGAAAGGGTTGATCCTTGTAAATAATCTTGGAGTGACTTAGTAGGATTCACAATGCAGAACCTTTGACGTGTAGAAACTGTATGGAACGTTCTGATTGCTTCTAACATCTGAAGGATTCAAAGTATGCTTTGATCATTATTAATATTCTTTAGTTTTAAACCACCGATTGCAAGAGTTTGCAGTTGTTTTAGAGAGATTGTGTGGGATTGCAGAACACAGTACTGACTCCAAGAAAGGGATCACTAGAACTTCTTTGCACCACAGGCAAGTTTGACTGTTTTCTTGTCCATGCAGTTGGTTGACATTGGGTCCTGCTTTTTCTTTTAATTTTGTGTATGTGTCCTGCTTTTCCCATGCGTGGTGAAATTTTTCTCTCTCCAAAACATTGGCTCCCATCAACGAAAGTGCTGTCCATTTCAGTGTATCGATGAGTTCCTGTAGGTGGGAAGACAAAGGTGAATCCAAAGGCTTGATCAGGAATTGAAGGAGGCACAAAACAAGCTGGAATTCCTCTTGTAACAGATCAAGGAGGTGTTTTCTCCTGAGACAGATCATAGGAGACGGGCTCTGTCAAAAGACCAGGTGTCTTCAGCCGCCTTCTAGCTGGTCCAAGGAAATTCATCCTTCCTGAGATAAGAAAAAGTATGCTAGCAGAGAAAAATGTAGCTTCGTGAGTCAAGAATTTCCTCTGGGATTTATCTCAATAAAAGCAAGAGAGAGACACTCTAGGCTGGGCATGGACGTCTTGGAGCTGTTTGCCCATGCCTTCTGTCTCATCTCCCCTCATTCCTGGGGTCCCTGTCTCTTCATTTGTCCTGGTCAACAACAACAATTTTTTTTTTAATTGATGGCATTTTGATTACGGTGAAATATTCTCCTCTGTATTTGTGTTAAAAGTGGTTTGATTGCATGGATAGTCCATTTCTTTCCATTCTTTTCTCCTGAAAAGTGACTCGTTAAATTCTCCTGTTGGACGATCTTTTGAGGCTCCTAATTATTTTTCGCATCTGTGCATGTTGATGTGGATGTTACTGTATTGGGTTGACCATGTTGCTTTTTACCTCATTCTTTCTGCTACATCAGCTAAAACTCTGCAAAGAATACCTTTGTTTCCTCTCTGCTTCATTTATTGCAGAGTTCTCCAAACTACAGTCTGTAGATGATATAGGATTGCACTTCGTCATAGTTGATATTTCAAAACCTGTTGGAGATTTGAAACTCTAACTACTTTAACAACTGGAGAAGAGTATTGAATACATCATGGACTGCAAGAAAACCCCAAACAGGTTTCATCCTGGAGAGGGTGAAACCAGGCTGCTCCTTGGAGGCAAGGATTCTGAGGCTTCGCCTGACATACTTTAGACATGTTGCAAGGAGAGACAGGTCCTTGGAGAGGGACGTCATGCTTGGGAGGGTGGAGGGACAGTGCAGGAGAGGAAGACCCTTGGTGAAGTGGATTGATTCAGTGACTGGGGTAATCAGGATGGGAGTATCAGACAATAAGGTTGGCATAGGATAGAACAAAGCTTAGGGCTGTCGTACATATTGTCGCTAGGAGTCGTAAGCAACTTGACAGCACATAACAACAACTACTTTCACAAAGGTAGTATATTTAGGTAAAAAGACTGGGACAATATTTGAAGATGACATTGCTGATAAGGGATTTATAACTGAAATGTAGGGAAGATTCCTTACTTGCACAAGGAAAGAAAAGAAAAAGAAAGCAAAGAACGCAACCGCAGCATAGGCAGCAGATAGGAACAGATGCATGCCCAAAGAAGTCAGATGGCCAACAAATAAATGAAAATTGCTCAAAATCCCTGGCTGTCCAAGAGCTGCAATTCCAAAAAACAATGATAAGATGCCATCTCACTCCAGCAACAAATTGTTGTGATTGTTGATTGCTATTAAAATGAGCACAACTCATCGTGACCCTAGGAACAAAAGACCTGAAGCCTTTCTGTGATTATCGTTGTTTTGTCAAAGTTCATTGAGTTTCCAGAGACATGTTGTGTAGGAAGTGGACGGCCAACTCCAGCCACAACTGCAACATTTTCACAGGACAGCAAGCAACACAGGCTGGTGAGGATGTGCAGCGGTTGGAACTCTCATTCCCTGCGGGTGGGAATGTCAAATGGTACAGCCACTGTGGAACACGGTCTGGTGGGTCCTCAAAAACTTGTAAATAGATAAAACATTTGACCCAGCTATCCCACTATTATTGGGAATACAGCCTAAAGGCTTCAGAGCTTTGACACAGACATATGGACACTTATGTTGATTGCTGCGTGATTTACCACAGCAAAGAGATAGAAGTAACCCAGGTGCCCATCGGCAAATGAATGGATAGAGAAAATGGTATGTGCACACAAAGGAATACTATGCAGCATAGTAAAAGGTTGACTTTGCACAACCTGGATATATCTGGAACACAGCAAGTATGTGAAATACCTCAGTGACAGTATATTTTTTTTTT